TGGGTATACTGGTGTTATTTGATAAACTGTAAAAAGAGAAAGAATAAAAATAGAATAAGACATCACATTTAACCACCCCCCCCCCTTACCGGTTTGTCGCTTATAGTTCATGCTTACGTAAGATAAAAGAAAAATCTTTAAAAATGAATCAAAAATCGTTAGTAAAGTATATCCATTAGGCACAATTTATTATTAAATCAAAATCAAGAAAAATAATCCGCTTACGGAAATCAAAAACAATATAATCAATATTATTTAAAGTCAATGGGTTCATATTCCTGCGATGAGAAGTCGAATTTTTGTTTATTTTTTAAAACTATACTCGTAAAAATATTTAAATGCAAGAGATACCTTGTAATGAATGACTAATATATAAAAATTGTCTCTTATCAAACTGTCATTCATGATATATGCATTTCTTTCTATTTTTAAACATTTGGATAAATAAATAAATACGCATTGACAATTATTTATTAATTAATTACAACTGTCAGAGTATTATACCTTTAACATAAACACCGCCTACACACGTGATTACCTTTTTAACATAAACATAAACACCACCTACACTCGTGATTACCTTTTACACAAACACCATCTACACACGTGATTACCTTTAACATAAACACCGCCTACACACATAATTACCTATAACATAAACACCATCAACACACGTGATTACCTTTAATATAAACACCGTCTACACACGTGATTACCTTTGACATAAACACCGCCTACACATGTGATTACTTTAAACTTAAACGACGCCTACACAGGTGATTACCTTTAACATAAACACCTACACACGTTATTACCTTTAACAAAAAACAACCTACACACGTGATTACCTTTAACATAAATACCTACACACGTGATTACCTTTAGCATAAACACTACCTTTATACGTGATTAATTTTAACATAAACACCCACACACGTCATTACCTTTAACATAAAAACCGCCTACACACACGATTACCTTTAACACAAACACCACCTACACACGTGATTACCTTTAACATAAACACCGCCTACACACGTGATTACCTTTAACATAAACACCGTCTATACATATTATTACCTTTAACATAAACACCGTCTATACACGTGATTACCTTTTACATAAACACCGTCTACACACGTGATTACCTTTAACATAAACACCGACTACACACGTGATTACCTTTAACATAAACACTGTCTACACACGTGATTACCTTTAACATAAACACCGCCTACACACGTGATTACCTTTAACATAAACACCGCCTACACACGTGATTACCTTTAACATAAACACCGTCTACACACGTGATTACCTTTAACATAAACACCACCTACACACGTGATTACCTTTAACATAAACACCGCCTACACACGTGATTACCTTTAACATAAACACCGTCTATAAACATGATTACCTTTAACATAAACACCGTCTATACATATGATTACCTTTAACATAAACACCGTCTACAAACACCGCCTACAAACGTTATTACCTTTAACATAAACACATGATTGATTTTAACATAAACACACGTGATTACCTTTAACATAAACACCACCTACACGTGATTACCTTTAACATAAACACCGCCTACACACGTGATTACCTTTAACATAAACACCACCTACACACGTGATTACCTTTAACATAAACACCGTCTACACACGTGATTACCTTTAACATAAACACCACCTACACACATGATTACCTTTAACATAAACACCGTAACACCACCTACACACGTGATTACCTTTAACATAAACACCGCCTACACACGTGATTACCTTTAACATAAACACCGCCTACAGTGAGGATCGTCATACTTGATACAAGATGGATGACAGTCATGTCTCATTGGAGGGCAGTACGCTACAATGTAAAACAAAATAAAACAAACAAAGAGGACAATACGCTACAATGTAAAACACATAAAACAAAGAGGAAAATACGCTACAATATAAACCAAAGTAAAACAAAGAGAACAATACGCTGCAATGTAAAAAGAAATCAAAGATAATTATGCATTCAGTGTAATAAGTTAATTAATGATCATTTATGATGTAGATATAGGGTCCTCTTGTTTTTATCAAAGAACTATATGCGGTATATTGCATATACTTGCCCCCACAGAAGTCAAATTTTAAAAACTTCCTGAAATGTGCTGAATTCAATATATTGTATGAGAAATATAAATTAACAGAACATAGTATAGTTTCAAAGCAGTTTATTCACAATTTTTGCTTTTATGACGTCACAAACTAGTCCGATTTTATATCCTTTTTCAGAAAGAGGACCAAATGGACAAAATTTCAACAATTTTAGCTTTAAAATTTATAGAGCGCAAGTTTGTTCAGGAACAATATTTACATATTTCATTTATATTATCATTCTACACATTATATCAAAATATTGATCCTGTACACACATGCGCTCGGTGACTTTTACTCAAATTATCGTCGAAATATGTACATTTTTCTGTAGAATTCATAAAAAAAATGAAATTTACGTCATGTTTGTGACGTCATTACGTACATATGACGTCATTACTTATGAAAATATTCAGTGCTTTGAAGTCAGCATATACTCCCCTATTTAAGAACTTAATTATATATACCTCCATCAAAGTTTGATTTGGGGGGCAAATATTGGTTATAACCGAATAAAGTTCTTTGATTAGGCCAGTCAAAACCTCCTAGATCTTACCACTTCCGCTGCCGCTCATTCCAACCACGCGCCCGTTGCTGTAAACAGTTGATCCGCCACTGATTCCATAAGGTGTCCTTCCACCTCCTCCCCTGGATCCACCACCTCCGACAGAACTGAACCCTGGTCCGCCACTGATATAACCTGATCCACCCGTCAGTACATTCATGATAACACTACCGGGGCTACCACTAGAAGAGCCTGAAAATGAATAAATAACACTACATCATTATATGAATAGATTTGAGACAGCCCGTGTATGAAAAAATCGTCTATAATAAGATCGACAAAAGCAATATCATTAAATCAGTTTCGCTAGAAAAAAGGACTTGTATCATATTTTAAGACCCCTAAAAACGGACATGAACTCTCTTTACCGAATAAAATCAAGGGGATTTAAAAGCCAGCAAAGTTAAAAACATGCCATCTGTACCATCTGTTGTCTTGAAGGAAAATGTTACATATGATGTAATGATACTCATTATAAAGAAAATGCAAATATTTGATGGTTTTGATATGAATAATAAAAAGATGAAATAGTATTCTGTAAATTAAGTGTAAAAAAAGTGAAAACATCATACATTTGGATAAAGTCAATCACTGCTACTGGACGGCTGTCTCTTGGGAACCTAAAGAATCAGAAGTTGTCAGTTTAAAACATGGAGTACACGAAGACAAGCTTTGGCTGAGAAAAGATATAATACCAAATTTTACCGTTAGTCATTATGCTACTTTTTTAAAACTACTGAAAAACTTAAAATTATGACCAACTTATTAATTTGGAATTTTTTTACCTTATTTCTAATTTTATGAAAGTGAAAGTTAGGAGTAATTGTATGTTGTGTATAGCAATTTTTCACATTAAAGCAAATAAAAAAAACACTAGGCATCCACAAAAGCAGGTATAACCAAATGGCGGCTTATTTATTTTAAGGTAAAGAAAGAGGAGCATGCTGTAGTCAAACCTCACAAAATCTAAAACATACAAAGTATGTTTATTTAATAGAAATGTTTGCATCAAATATACCCAATTATACACAAAAATAATAATTTATGATAAATAATTCAATAAAATCAATATACAGTAATCTGTTCACAGACATCCACATGCATACTATCATTTATAAACGTGTTTATTTCACTGCTTTAAAAACTACATTAATTATATTGTCAACATTGATTTTTATTATTTGCAGATATGTTGAACTGTTGAAACTGAATCTGGTAGTGCGCCGGGTATACTTCCTTTTTTATTCAATCTTTCAAAATTTCAGATGCGCGAGTATGTCTTGGGTACAAGCAACCAGCTTTGACCTCTTCATTTGCAAACAACTTATTATGTCTAGGCGCACTAGATGCCCTTATTCTGAATGTGGGTGCTTGAAAACGGTGAAGTGATTTGATGTAAACCTTTAACGAATCTTTTTGACAACGCATGAGGGTAGCACATGTACCTTGAGGTTACCTCCAGCAAGCTTAAGCCTGACCAAGACAAGGAACCTACTGTATGCAATGTAACAAAATGCTATGTAACAAATGCTATTCTATATTTCATTATTGATTTATTTGTATTGCTAATTTTGATATAAACACTTTCAATTTGTAAAAATATGTTTCTTTTTTTCAAAATGTAAATTCGAATGTTTCATGAATTATAGTCTTGTGTTTAATAAAATAGTTATTGAATTTAATTACCACACTGAGGTATAGAACACATCCCCAGTTAGTGTTTTTCTTGGTCCCGGGAGTTTGGCGAGCTTCAAACAACCTGTTCACTTCGTCGTCTGTACTTTCTTTAAATCTATTGCCTGTTTTGAACACGTTGAGAGGGGTGGCAGGAGTCTCAGGCTTGAGGAGGTCAGATAAGGCAGAGATACTGGTTTTCTGTGATATCGTCTAATTGACTACTGCATAACATGTTTAAGTGTTGAAAATTAGTTGTCTGAAAATACAATTCATCAAACTCCATTTCTTTTTCACCAAAATCAAAGTGATCAAACTGATGCTGGCTCTTAGGAAAACTATCCATTGTATGGAAATATACATGACATTTGCAGACAATTGTGTTTACAGTTATGTTTGAAATGAAATGAAACAAAAATTGCAACAAATTGAAGATTTATTTTTCACAATTTATTAAAATTTCGACTGACACAATAATAAGCACGGTAAAAATACGTATGTTTACATTTGGATTACTTTTAAAAAGTAGTCCAAAGAATGTGTATATTAATACGCGGGCAGATTTCTTTGAGACCCGAATGTCTGTGTAAGGAATAGTGACTGGTTTATGTAGAGATCAAAAGCAGTGGTTTTATAAGAAATAAAGGAAGAAAACTTTAATGGGTGTAAATATATGAATATGCTGTGCAGAAATTTCACTAACTTAATAAAAGTACCCTGCATGACTCCATCCAAATCGAGGGGCCTCTGGATGATAATGTGTCAGTGAAGGAATAAGAATCAAATCTGTACATACATGTATAACTATTTCAAATTCATGACAATGAGAAAAAAGTATATTGCATACAAAATGTTACAAGGTAAATATATCGTTACACGTAAGATGGGTTATGAAAATACTGCCAACTATAAATGTTTAAAGCACTACACAAAAAAGCAATTTCTATTTTTTTTTTTATAAACGGTAAAATTGGCATTACTTTTCATTTCTAATTTAAAAAAAAAAACCTGCCTTTTTGTAAAGGAGAGTGTGCGCCAATACACCATGTCAGCATTCAAATGTAATATGTAATGTCAATATTTCTGTCCAAATTAAATCTCATATGCAGTAGAAGTCTAACAGAAACATTCCATGCAAAATTTAAAATTAAAATAAGCAAATTATGAAAAATGTAATGCATAATTAGTTGAGGATATATTGTCTTAAATATTAGACTGGAGCATTGAGAGAAGAGGGGAGCCTGGAGATTTAGAAGCAATATCACCAATTTTACTTAATAGTCTCCTGGAGAAATTTTACTGTTAGGCAAGGCCCTTAAAAGATGGGGAACTTTATCATAAAAATACATTGAACAATTTGAGAGGAGCTATTAACCGAAAATTGGCAGATCTAAAGAGAGAAATGGGCATTGTTAAAGACAACGATTTTAAAACATCTAATGGAGTCATGAATGGATTGTTGAAAGAGTGTGTTAGGGAGGGCACATTGTTTATATCATATCAGCAGTCTCGTTTAAAGAATCATTTCGTATGCTCTAAGGTCGATATAATGACCTTGTCATTTAATACAGATTATCATTGAGTCAAATGCTGACTGACGTCATTCATACTTATTGCTAGTCCGTTATTTATACACTAAATTGACAACGGATTTTTTTCGTTATTTCCAAATAATGACAAGGAGCACAAATCAGGTGTGACCGGTCGGCATGGAATGTTCACTTCTCTATGGCACCTGATCTTATTGCTCAAGTTTTGGAGGTCAGTGTTTGCTCTGTTCCTCAGTCGGTTATTTAAGTTCATACTGAAGGGAGATTATCGGTTTTTAATTTACTGCTTTTCTGAATTTGTACTGTAGGTGACTTACCAGTTGATAGAGTTTGTATGGAAGGCCCTAACTTGTTGTCTGGGTTTTCATGTAGAGCTAGAGAAATTGAAATGCAGACTTCTTAAATTTCATGACGCAGTAAGTCGTGTACAATTTCTTGTTAAAGACATAAACCTAACAATTGAAAAATATAAATCATGTAAAAGGACCACCTAGGCAAAAATAATTTCTCTGAAATGGTTAAAAATATATTACAAAGTGCTTTTAAAGAGCAAAAGTCAAAACGTTCACAAATTGGCCGGATTTCAAAAAAGGACAAGTATGCCCCTGGATATATCTACCGACTATAGATTTTTTTCAGACCAACTTTCTTTTTTCAATATCTCTTACATATTTTCTGTAAGAGGTCTTCAAAATAGCAAATGTATATGGATGATTTTCGTACGTTTTACGGAACGTCATAATGACGTTGTGAATTTTAACACTAATGAGTTCTCATAAATAAAGTGATTAATATTTATTAATCGAGTATTTCACTAAAGATGTATATTATAACATAGGCGTAGTCACAGGGGGGCAGCGGGGGCACTAGCCCCCCCCCCCCCCCCCACTTTCAGATGTGGGGGGGGGGGGGGCAAGAGTATGTCTGTGCCCCCCCCCCTCCCCCACTTTTTAATGATGAACAAAATCAAAGCTATGTTGAAATAATATTAAACCTCATTTTATGGCATTTTTTTTTATTTTCAACAACTGAGTAACTATTTCTCTTGAAGTAATTGTTGTATAATATAGTAATGTAATATATAGTATGAAATCTGTCAAGACCTCTTGTGTTCGCAAGTTTGGGATAGGGAGTGCGGGTCATAAATTTAAGTTTAGATGTTTCTGTTTCACTCAGCATCTGTTATCTAACAAAATTAAATGAGGATCACAAGCTACCCTTTGTGTTGAACATCTGAAAGTCATTATTTATTTGCTGTATCCCATTTCTTGTATCACACATAGTCACAAAGTAAGTTTTGTCAAACCTGCGGGTTTTTAGTTATTTAATTTTGCTGATTCATTAGCACTCTTTTATTTTTACATATATGTACTAAAGAATTCTAGTCAATCCAAATCTCATCAAAATAAGTAATTTCTACAAGATAGCTGCAGTAATGGAGATTCTGATTTCGGTATACCTGTGATGAATGTCAATCAACTTTAAAAACACTATTTGAAATCCTTGGCTAGCTGGTTTAAGGGGGCGTTAGGGACACACACCCTTAAAATTTTTAAAGTATGATATGATTAATATTATTAATGCCATACTTTGATACATATCTAACCAATGCCACTATTTTTGTTTCTGGTTGTACTATTAAATTACACGAAAACTCAGGAGCTTCCAGGGGCTTCGCCCCCTAGGCCCCATCATTCAAAGTGTGATATGACTAATATTATTTCATGCCATACATATCCTGTATTCGCCCATGGATATTACATGTTGTACATCTCAATTTCTTCATTTAACACAAATGGCCTTAAGACTTTGGAATTGGGGGGTTGGAGGGTTGGCAATATATACACTGTAGAATACAACAGAAAACTTAGGTACTGTATGCTGGTTCCCCCTCATTAAAGCCGTCTGATGACCTTTTTTTTTTTTTTTTTTTTTGCTTAACAAAGAATTTCTGGATTTGAGCCCCCCCCCCCACTTTTAAGTTTGTGACTACGCCTCTGTATAATATATAACAGATATTACTTCGATATTCTGTGAATAAAAGATATATAACTTTGAACTTATAACATCAGGTATAAACATGCTTATGTACATGTACTAGTGACAATGACAGCGTGTCCGTTCAGCGTGCAAATCGTGGTACACGTAAATAATTAAATAACGATTAATCAATGTTTTATAATAATATAATAATTTTATAAATAATTAACACAAACTTTAAGCATTTGATATATTAATCAACCTGTATAAAGCCTTTAACTGAATAAAACCTGAAAATGATAGCATTGTTTTAGTTACGGTTAACACACAGGTATGTACAAGCATTTACATGTACACTTTCACTTTGCCAGAAAGATGCGTCCAGCATGGTTTTTAGAAAGAGAACCCAACCAGCAACGTATAAGCTGCCGATTGAATTATAATTTTTTTTATAGTAAATAATTAAAAAACACACGCCTTTCAGTATGATTTTGATCATATTCTCCAATCAAGAAGTTGTCCATACATGTTAACCTATTGTGACGAAAAATGGGGAGATTCAGACCTCTAAAGATCGCGTGATATTTGACGCACGGGTTTGTTAAGATATTATTTTTCTCAAAGTAGTCATCTTCATGTATTAGCAAAATGCTTTCACGACCAATAATTAAAAGTTTTTAGAAGAAAATCAAATAATAAAATGATTCATTTTACATACTTTATACAATGCCTTTATTGCATGACAATCACAAGACAGGGTAATAAAATTTAGTTTTTCCCCAGACCATCTTTCTGCTTTTCAAAATTTTTAACCATTTTCAACACTTGTGAATTTCGAGAAGTAAATATACTTCGTTGAATAAATACTTCCGCATTTCCCAATTTTTTGCAAAGATATTAAACGGAAGTATATTTTTGACACAAAAAGGAAATATTGGGCTAGGCGCCTCTTATTCCGCCAGTGGGCATCATTTAGTGACCTCAGTGCTCACAGTAGCTCTTTTTTTTTTGGGGGGGGGGGGAGGGGGGCATTGCATTTTGTTCTGTAACGGTGAATATACATGTGATTATGTAATTATATATTTAATATTAAATGATACATATCACACAAACTCGTATTTTAAAGATAAAAGGCAAACAATATTCACCTAATCTAAGCACGTTAAATGTTTTTTGAAGTAGGGGGGGCATGATATTCAATCGCAGAATGATATATCCCGACCTCCCGACCAGGGTACATGTATTAATTCAACTTCTACCATTCTTAGCATATCATTGTTTTAGCGATTCTGTATTTAGTAAAGGTGTAACTTTTTTTTTATTTCGGGAAAACCTAAATATCGATGTTATTAATCTTAAACGGGCAATTGACGGAAGAAAAATTCTACTAAATGTTGTGATAAATGGCAAAACATTTTCAATCATAAATATCTATGCTCCAAATAATCTAAATAAAAGGCTTGACTTACTTTTTTACCACTCTTTTTATAACATAACTTATAATTATTTACTGATATATTAATCACATAATCAACGAAGAGAGGGGAGTATCGAACGGACAAGCCCCCCCCTCTCTCTCTCTCTGGGATATACTGACTACCTTTGATATTTAGACTAAATGAAAAATATTCAATGTATGAGCAAAATATAAAATCATCAAAGTGTTCAGTAAATATAAACATATCATCTGTAACTAAGTAGACATTGTTCAACATGAATCCTTCTACCCGAAAATGCGTGATTTTTGTAATACAATGCACGCAGAATGATAAGTAGGCCTATAATTAAATAAATGTCCTAAATAGTCATAATGTTGTTTTTTTTTTTTATATATAATTTTCTGCATTTCATTTCTCAACAATTGATTTTTTTTTATTTGGAGCAGCTAACTATATTTTATCTGAACACTAAAAAAAAAAAAACATATGATTATGACCATTTTACCGTTATGCCACTTTGTATAACCACTGAAAAACTTAACATTATGACGATCTTATTAATTTGGAAATCTTTTACCTTATTTCTAATTTTATGAAAGTGAAAGTTAAAAGTAATTGTATGTTGTGTATAGCAATTTTTCACATTAATGAAAATTAAAGAAGACACTAAGCATCCACAAAAGAACGTAAAGCCAAATGGCGGCTTATTTATTTTAAGGTAAAGAAAGAGGAGCATGCTGTAGTCAAACCTCACAAAATCTAAAACATACATAGTATGTTTATTTAATAGAAATGTTTGCATCAAATATACCCAATAGATACTCGTAAAAAAATAATAATTTAAATTAAATAATTCAATCAGATCAATA